ACTCCGTCATTGCGCGACATTATGTATGCGCGTGTCTGCCCGACTCTGTGCGTCTGCGCCTGTCTGTGCGCGCGTGCGTGTCTGAGTGCGCGTCTGTGCGTGAGTGTGTGTGTGTGTGTGTGCGCCTGCGTGTGTGTTTGTGCGTGCGTGTGTGCGTGTGTTTGTTTGTGTGTGTGCGCGTGTGCGCGTGCGCGCGCGTGTGCACGTGTGTGTCCGCGTGGGCGCCTGTCCTTCTGCCGCGCGTGCGTCTGCGTCTGCGCGCGATGTGTCACCCTTCTTTGGGCGCGCTTCATCTGCGGCGAGGGCCCTGGAGTGAGGCTTGATGCTGGCCCCTTCCCCATGTTGCGCGGGGCGCTCGCCTCGCCCGGGGCAGCGGCCTCGGCGCTGGGGGTCACTTCCTATACTGGCTCTGAGATCTCCACGTCCACGAAGTTGGCCTCGACCCACTCCCGGTCCGCGGCACTCAGGCCCTCCAGCGCCCAGTGGTTCGTCGTGATAATGATGGGGGTTCGCCAAATGAACACGCGGTGCGCATACTGCATGGTCGGGTTCTTGCCCAACTCTGCGCCATCGATGCGCATATGCAACAGCTTCTTGGTCCTGATGGTGAAATCTGGGCCTTGCATCTCATCTCCAACAGCGCCGCCCTGTGGACACCTGGCCGGTACGCATGCAGATTCGGCTCGTGGACGTTCACGACGTCGACCGCCAGGGTCTTTTCCGCACCGAACAACGATCGCGCCAGTCTCGATTTCCCCGCCCGGGACGGCCCATGGAGGACAAGGAATTTACAGCTGTCATCGACCTCACCGAAGTGCACCATCCAAGACTCACTGGCGGGGCACAAAGGCGTTGTTGGCTTTGCTCTCGCCTGAATCGCCGCCAGCGCTGCTGACTGCTCGGCCGCGCACGCGCGCCTTGTCTCCGTCGCCGCGACGGCCTCCAGACAGGCCATCCGTCGGTCGTGGCCATCGCGCAGTTTCGGTGAAAGCTGGTCGTGGTCCAGCTTATGCGCCCGCTAGAGGCTGACCACCGGCCATGCCGCCGGCGCCCACAATTTTTCCCAGGGGGCATGATTGGTCTCTGCGTACACGGCGCCAGATTTCCACTTCCACACCCACACATAAAAGTGCCCGCGCCTGGTGGGAGCCACTCCGACGGACCACGGTTCTCAGTGTTGGCGTCAACGCGGGGCCGCGCGCCCGCGTAGACCCACTCGTCCGTCATGGAGTGGTCGATGCCGCTGCTGCGACCGCGCCAGGAGAAGCATGCGCGATAGTGGATGCGACCTGGGTCCTGCGCGTGAGTGGACACTTCGCATGTGCAGCTCCAATACGCGGCGTCATACTTCGCGGCCTTCCCTTCACGAGTACAGAGAAGTCGCCCCACCGTCGCGGGGACAGGACGAAGGCGAGGCTGTTGCACGTCTTCATGAAGAACCTCGCGCGGAGCCGGAATTGACCAGCGCCCTTGTAGACACTGTGCTGCAACGTGTGGTGCTCCTCGATATCGATATCTCCATGGTTATCATCGTCTGCCGCGCCGCCTGGCGACCCGGCCGCGCGCAGCGCCATCTCGAGGCGCTCCTTCCAGGCGCCCAAGAAGGATAGCTGCCAGCCTGCCCCGACGGCTCGCGACCACTCGCTCCGCAGCTCTCCGAGGCGGCCCAGCTGCTCGGAGGACCCCTTTGCGGAGATTGCCTTATACAGCGTTTCGCGCGTGGCCCCTGCATCCCGCAGGCGCACCGGCTGCAGCCCGAGCTCACCAGCCTAGGAACGAGGAAAAGCGACACCAACACCACCAGGGCGAGGAGATGCGAGGGGCCGGGGGGGGTCTCCCTGGCGGTGTGGTCGCCCCGTCCCGCTCGAGACATCCCGAATCCCCAGCTCGTGGAGGCATCGTGGACCTCCTCGCTGGGGGTGGCCTCCCTGGTGGCGTTGGCGTCGATTGTCCTCCCCCCGACAGCGAGGGCGTTCAAGGAGCGGCAAACTCCATCCCTGGCCCTGCGATTCTCCACGGCGGAAGGCACGCGCCGGGCCGAGGGCGCCGGGGCCTGCCAGGGCGACGAGGCGATGGCTCGTGTCACAATGGCAACGGAATAAAGACTCCCCCGTGCGTTTGAACTCCACGCGGAGGGCCAAACAAATCGAAAGCGTGATCCTTCCCCTGTCTGGTAGGGAATTCCGCCAAAGGGTCGCAGTTGCGCAGCCCGCCATCGTCCCCGCAACCCATACACGCACACACACACACACAAACAAACACACACACACACAAACAAACAAACACACACGTTTCGTGGATTATAAGAGCTCCACCGAGGGTCCCAATCGCGCAGCCCGCATGCGTCCCCGCCACCAATTTCGGCACGCCCTTCACACGCTTCGTGGCCCCATAGGAATTCTACCAAGTGTCCCAGTGGTGCAACTCGCATGCGTCCGCGCCAACGAAAGTCCCAGTGGCCCCATTCGGGGTTCCACCGAAAGTCCCAGTGGCGATGCCCACATGCGTCCCCGCCACCCATTTCGGCACGCCTTTCATGCGCTTCGTGGCCCCATATGGGAGATCCACCGAAGGTCCCAGTGGCGGTAACCATATGCGTCCTCGCCACCTATGTCGGCACACCCCGCACACGCATCGTGGCCCCATACGAAGCTCCACAGTCCCCGCCACCCAGTTCGGCACGCCATTCACACGATTCGTGGCCCCAGTGGCGCTGTCCACGAGAACTCCCGCCATCCATTTCGGCACAAACCCCACACGGTTCGTGGCCCCATAGGAGCTACACCGATGGCCCAAGTGGCGGTGTCCACATGCGTCCCCGCCACACAGTTCGGCACACCCCTCACACGTTTCGTGACCCCATAGGGCACTCCACCGAGGACGATACTCACAAGTGCGTTACTTTCAACTGCATATGATTGGGTCCTTGGCGAGGCCACTTTTTCAGAAAGAGCATGTGTAATGCAAGATTTGTTGCGCAGTCGATGTGGGCGGCGACGGGGTGGAAACGGCGGAAACAAGCGCGGCGACCGACCGACAGGCCCAGACGACGGGCGGCGATGAGGCGGCGACAGGGCAGCGCGGCGACCGATAGACAGGCCCAGGCGACGGGAAGCGACGAGGCGGCGACGGGGGCGACGACGGCGGTGACATAGCCGCCAGACCGACAGACAGGCCCAGTTCCTTACAGCTGAAATGAGAAGCCCTAAATAGGAAGTTAACATTATCCCAGTGCGACCCGGCCTCGGAGTTGGAGCATTTCGGAAAGCAACATCTACATCTACACCGACAGCTACATGTACATCTACACCTGCATCTACATCTACATCAACATCAACAGCGAGACTCACATCTACATCTACGTATACACCTACATGTACACCTACATCTACATCTACCTCTACATCTACACCTACATCCACCGCTACACCTACACCTACATCTACACATACATCTACACGTTCGCATTGGTTTTGGTGTTGCGTTGCAATGCCTTTGCTGTTGCTCTTGCCGTTGCTTTTGCCTGTGCCTTTGCGTTTACGTTTGCGGTTGCTGTTGTTGGTGCTTTGCTTTTGTTGTTGTGTTCGCTTGAGTTTGTTGTTTGCTTTGCCTGCGCACAGACACACACACACGCATGTTGTCGCATTCGCTCACTGGGTGTGCTTGAGAATGCTCCGTATCCGGTCTACACAGCACGACTTGGCATTGAGCAAGGTTGTGCAACACTTGCTCCACCGAACGTTCCTACGAAATTGTACAGCAGCAGCAACTCCCAGATCGGTGCATCATCGGCGCTGGAATATGATATGCTATGTTATGGTATGCTGTGTTATGCTATGCTATGCTGCGCTGTGCTATGCTAAGCCATGCTGTGCTATGCTAAGTTATGCTATGTTATGATGCGCTATGCTATGTTATGCTATGCTGAGCTATGCTATGATATGATTGGAAATGCTATGCTATGCTATGCTATGCTGTGCTAATGCTGCGCTGCGCAATGCTGCGCTGCGCTGCGCTAAGCTAAGCTAAGCTAGGCTAGGCTAAGCTAAGCTAAGCCAAGCCAAGCCAAGCCAAGCTAAAGCTAAGCCAAGCTAAGCTAAGCTAATATGAAATAAGCTCAGCTAAGCTAAGCTAAGCGAAGCTAGGCTAGGCTAGGCAAAGCTAAGCTGAGCTAAGCTAAGCTAAGATGAGATAAGCTAAGCTAAGCTAAGCTTAGCTTGGCTTAGCTAAGCTAAGCTGGGTGAACCCAGGGGGCGCAACTGGGGGAACCGCGGGGCGGATACTGGGGGAACCGCCCGGGGCGCTTTCCACTGCCGGGCCCCTTTAAGCCCAGAGAGTAAGAACCCTTCTAGGCGGAGCCTAGGTAGGGAATTACGGACATTATGATGGCACCAATAGCTTGGACGTCCGCAATGGTACAAAAAACATGGGTACGATGCCCAGCAGCGAATGTTATCCAAAACCGGCAGCGGCCGCCGATGGGCAGGCAACCTTCCGTCTCAAATGGACAACCTCCGCGACAACGCCGACAGCGAACCTGTTCAGAATGGAGAGGAAGTACCGTGAACTTCGTAACCAGTCTTTCCGCACTGTGATTGATTATCGAAGGGGGGGTCACCAGACGGGCAATTTTGGAACCCACAGACAAGTCATGAAACGGCGGCCTGTTGCCCAGACACCGCAGAGCCCTCCAAGACAGCTCAGTCCAGACCCCCCAGGTCAGACCTCTTACCTTTTCTTTGTGAAATCTGAAATTGACTACCTACCTGACCACCCCAACCCAACCCGAAGACCCGAATTTGACCCGAATTTCGGGTTGGGGGGGGTACGGGTTCCATGTGTTTTCTCAATGTTCCCCGACACCCCCCCACTGGAAATGGGAAGAAAATTGAGGCCTTCGGGTTGGGTTGGGGTCGTTGGTGGGTGGTGAGAAATATGATTCGATTTCGACCCTACCGAGGCAGAGAAGGGGGAGGCTTCCCTCCTTTGCACCCGGCTGCCAGCGGCAGTTTCCACCACAGCGCACCCCCTCCGGGCGCCGGCGCCGGCCCCGCCGAGCCGCCAGAGGCGGTGGGCGGCGGGGCCGGCGGCACCTCGGCGCCGTCCACCAGCAGCAGCCACTGGCCTGGGCGGCCCCCCAAGACATTGATGTTTTCGGTTCCGCGAGCGCCGAGCGGGAAGCAGAGAGGCAGTTTCCCGACTGTCTGTGGTGTTGGGTCCTCGCTTCGAAAGGACGGCGCCCCGCGTCTCCTTCCTCCTTCCTCCTCTGAGGGGGCCCTGGGACACACAAATAAATACACACAAATAAAAAGATTCCCCATGTTTTCCGATATTTTCTGGGTTTTCGTCTTCGCCCCCACTTCCCATATTTTCCCAGATTTTCCCGGGGAACGACGATGAAATGTGTCTGTGTTTTTGTTTTCCCCTCCTTCCTCCTCCCCCCACCCTCCCTCTCCCCCTCCCAATGCTGCTCTCCGCATCAGTCTGCCGACTCGGCACGCCCCGCGCAGGCTCCGTGGCCCCATGAGGAGCTCCACCGAAGGTCCCATCGTGGCGCAATTCGCATGCGCCCCGCCAAGAGTTTCGGCATCCCTCACACGCTTCGTGGCCCCATTGGCCCATCGGGAGCTCCACAGGAGGTCCCAGTGTGGCAGCTCCCACGCGTCCCCGACACCCATTTCGTCACGCCCTTCACATGTTTTTCGTGGCCCCCAAGGGAGCTCCACCAAAGGTCTCAGTAGGGGCAATTCACACGCGTCCACATTGAACACCGGCGTCGCGGACGGCCGAGACAGCAATGGACTTCAGAGGTGTACAAACTGCGCCGACAGATCTGAGCACCCCTCTGCTATATAGTCTGGTCGTCTTTGTCTTCTCGCCTCCGCTTCTTTCTCTCCCAACGCGAATATGTGTTGTAGTGTGATTTTTTTTCGGCGGCCTTAAACGGTTGTCGTGCCAACGCGTCCTGCTGGATGTACGGCTTATGTGTGTGCTCACACGTTTCGTGGCCCCAGAGGAGCTCCACCGAAGGCCCCAGTTGGACAATTCGCACGCGTCCATGCCATCCCTTTCGGCACAAACCCCACACGGTTCGTGGTCCCCGAAGGAGCTCCACGAAATTCCCACTGGGCAGCTCGGATGCGTCCCCGTCGCCCTTTTTGGCACACCCCTCACACGTTGCGTGGCCGCGTAGGGAGCTCCTCGGAAGGCCCCAGTTGGGCAATTCGCATACGTCCCCGCCATCCCTTTCGGCAAATCTCTCACACGTTTCGTGGTCCCCAAGGGAGCTCCACAGAAATTCCCACTGGGCAGCTCGCAGGCGTCCCCGCCCCCCATTCCGGCACACCCCTCACACGTTCCTTGGCCTCATAGGGAGCTCCTCGGAAGGCCCAATTTGGACAGTTCGCATGCGTCCCCGCTTCGGCACACCCCTCACACGTTTCGTGGCCTCGTAGGGAGCTCCAAAGAAATTCCCACTTGGCAGATCGCATGCGTCCCCGCCACCATTTTCAACAAAACCCGCACACGCTTCGTGGCCCCGTAGGGAGCCCCGTGGGGAGCTCCTCGGAAGGTCTCGGTGGCGCAGTACCCACGCGTCCCCGGCACTCCTTTCGGCACACCCCTCACACGCTTCGTGGCCCCATAGGGAGCTCCACCGCAGGTCCCAGTAGGGACAACTCGACAACTCGCCTGCGTCCCCGACACCCACTTCGAGAAACCGAACACACACTTCGTGGCGCCATAGGAAGCCCTACAACAAGTCCCAGTGGCGCAAGTCGCACGCGTCCCCGCTACTCATCTCGGCACGTACACATACACACACACACACACACACACACACACACACACGCACACGCACACGCACACACACACACACACACATACAAACACACACACACACGGACACGCACACACACACACACACACACACACACTCACACACACACACGGACACGCACACACACACACACACACACACACACGCACACACACACACACAGAGACACACACACAACACACACACGCGTTCACATACACACGCACACACACACACACACCTCACCCGCTTCGTAGCTTCATAGGGAGCTCAACCGAAAATACCACTGAGGCAATTCGCATGCGTCCCAACCACCCATTTCGGCACACCCATCACACACTCCGTGGCGCATCAACGAGCCCCACCGACGGTCCTAGTAGCGCAGTTCGCATGCGTCCCCGCCGGTCATTTCGGCACACCCTCACACGCTTCGTGGCCCCCTTAGGGAGCTTCAACGAAGGTGCCCGTGGGTAGCCTGCATGCGTCCCCACCAGTGTCGGTACACCTCTTACACGCTTCGTAGCCTCATAGGGAGCCCCTCACTCATTTCGGCACACCTCTCACACGCTTCGTGGCCCAACACAGAGCTTCACGGAGTTCCAGTGGCGCAGTCCGCATGAGTCCCCGTCACCAATTTCGGCACACCCGCACACGCGTCCTGGTCCCATAGGAAGCTCCTCGGAAGGTCCCGATGGTGCAGCTCGCATGCGTCCCCGCCACTCACTTTGACACTCTTGTCACACGTTTCGTGGCCTCGTACGGAGCTCCACAGAAAGACCCAGAGCCGCCGCCCGCACGCGGTCCCGCCACCCATTTCGGCACACCCCTCACACGCATCGTGGCCCCATAGGGACCCCATAGGGAGCTCCACAAAGTTCCCACTGGGCAGATCGCACGCGTCCCCGCTATTCAGTTTGGTACACCCCTCACACGCTGCGTGGCCCCATACGAAGCTCCACCAAAGAGCCCGGTGGGGCAATGCGCATGGCCCCCGCCCCCCAATGCGGGACCCTTTTCATTCGTTGCGTGACGCCATGCGGAGCTCCACCGAAGGTCCCAATGGCGCAGTCCGAAGGCGTCCCCGCAACCAATTTCGGAACACCCTCACATTTGGACGCCCGAAATGGGTACGGAAGAATGGGTACGATGCCCAACAACAAATGTTGTCCCAAACCAACAGCGGCCGCTGTTGGGCAGGCGGCCTTCTGCCTCGAATGGACACAGGCCGCGGCGGCGTGGACAGCAAATCCTGTTCAAAATGAGCAGGAACTGCTGTTGGGCACTGTACCCATTCTTTCCGTACCCCTTTCGGGCGTCCAGATCATACGCTCCGTGGCCCCGGAAGACCGCAACGCACGTGGAGACGAAGCCTCGCCGGCAAAAGGCGCGACAAAGCGCCCATGGCGAGACCGGGCCCGGAGACTTTGGCGGAGCACACAAGGGGGTATGGGTACGATGCCCAACAACAAATGTTGTCCCAAACCAACAGCGGCCGCTGTTGGGCAGGCGGCCTTCTGCCTCGAATGGACACAGGCCGCGGCGGCGTGGACAGCAAATCCTGTTCAAAATGAGCAGGAACTGCTGTTGGGCACTGTACCCATTCTTTCCGTACCCCTTTCGGGCGTCCAGATCATACGCTCCGTGGCCCCGGAAGACCGCAACGCACGTGGAGACGAAGCCTCGCCGGCAAAAGGCGCGACAAAGCGCCCATGGCGAGACCGGGCCCGGAGACTTTGGCGGAGCACACAAGGGGGTACGTGCGCGCGCGCGTGCGCGTGCGCGCGCGCGCGTGCGCGTGCGCGTGCGCGTGCGCGTGCGCGTGCGCGTGCGCGTGCGCGTGCGAGTGCGCGTGCGCGTGCGCGCACGCGCGTGCGCACGCGCACGGGTAGGGGGAGGGGGAAGGCTTCTCGTGGAAGGAGGCATCCTATTAGAAGGCGCCGGCCCTACATCTACAGGCAAGGCCCGCGCCTTCTGAGGAGCAGGGGTGCTTCTAGGAAGACCTCCCGCTCCCCCTACCCCCCTCTGCGCGTGGCCGCCCAAGGGCCCCCAGAACCCCAAGAGAACCCCAAGTGGCCCCAGGAGGGCCACAGAGGCCGCAGGAAGCCCCCAAGAGGCCCTTCCGAGGCCCCCGACCCAAGAGGGCCAAAGTCAGCCACAGGACGGCCTGAAGAGACCTCCTTATCCTCCTCCTCCTCCTCCTCCTCCTCCACCTCCTCCTCCTCCTCCTCCGCCTCCTCCTCCTCCTCTTCCTCCTCATCCTGATCCTCCTCATCCTTCTCCTCCTCTTCCTAATCCTCCTGCTCACCTTCCTCCAACAGTAACAGTGGTTCGCGGTGTGCAAGTTCCATGTACTGTCTTCTGGTGTAGTTCTGGAGTTTCAAACGGTTGTTTTCCAACGGAGCATTTCCTTCAGTGAAAATGAACCCTTGCATGGGTCCTATGAAGGGGAAGTTTGGAAGGAATGCTTACTGCAATATCGTTGACGAATCATGGGCTTACACTGGTAGTCCTCCTCTTCCTCCTCCTCCTCCTCCTCTTCCTCCTCCTCCTCCTCCTCCTCCTCCACTTCCTCGTCCTCCATCTCATTATCCACCTCTTCCCGCTCCCTCTGCCGCTCCTCCTCCTCCTCCTCCTCCTCCTCCTCCTCCTCCTC